CCAACCATCTGAGCCACAGAGGCCAGGGTATTTAGTCACATTTTCCAAGTAGAAGGAGGCTTATATTCTGATCAGGAACCACAGGGGTCCCACAGGGATGTGCTTACCTGTAAGTGGATTATTTTAAGGGAAAGCCACGCTGACTTGGTTTCCATCTACATTCATTCAGCAAAGAAAATGCACACAGTGCTTGGCTGTGGAATGGGTGGACGAGTTGGGATCTTGAGCTCAGGTTGTCAGCGTGTTTGAGGGGAAAGGAAGCCATACAGATGTTTGGGACAAGAAGGATGCTCTTCCTCCCCACGTTGCTTAGTTAAGGGGATGGAGATAAACATGATTTTAGGTCGGGGAATCCTCCCCAGGAATGGCTTGAGAAGCCCATAGGGTGTTCTCTTTCTGTTCAAAAGGGCTTCTACAGTTCAGCATAGTTATCTTCGGTCTCTCGTGTGTCCTATGAAGTAAGCCACTTTATTTCATTTCTTTTTTTTTTTTTTTTTTTTTTTGGTCCGTATTTTGTCCTGGTAGAATACTTAGCCTGTGAAAATCATCTATTTGCTCATTGCATGATGCTTCACAATGGATTTGTAAGAGGACTAAAACCAAAATATTACATTTTGGCTTTCCAATGAACCTCAGACTCAAGTCAGGAGAGCCAAAAACTTTCACAGTGTCCCCGGTTAGTCAGGAGAGTAATGGCAGTGACCTTGAAAGGAACGCAGGCACTGGCCTTGCTAAAACTCTCACAGCTCAACAACACAGGAGTTCTATGCCAGTGACCAAGTAGGGAATTGCTACTTTTATTTCTCTTGACTAGCTCAAGGACATAGGGAGATATCACATTGCAATTAGGAGTTCTCTCTCTCTCTCTCTCTCTCTCTCACACACACACACACACACACACACACACACACACTCCCTTTGCTCCAAAAGCATTATCTGTTTTTTGGTTGTGTGTTAGTTGGGTGCCAAGATTCTGTGATGGCGTGAAAGAGTGCATGTTTTACCTCAGTCCTAACTGTGTTCAAACACCGTCTCTATCTCTTTCCCAGCAGGAAGTTCCAGGGTCTGGACAGGCCGGAGGCTGGCATGGTCAGTGGGGTTCTGTGGCTGAGGCTGAGGGACTGTGGAGTATACAAAGGTCGGGGAGTAGACCCTAAGGACCAAAGACAGCTACTGACACCTGGCTGCACTGAGTGTCTGCGTGATGAGCTCAGAGTTGGAGGCAGTGAGGACAGGACGTGGCTGCATTACTGCAGCGGATTCTGGGGGTGTCAACCGCAAGGTGTTGGGTGAGGATGTGGCCTTTAAGGAGAGGCTGTTTCCATTGACCTTGGGCAAGCTCCTTAGCTTCTGAGTTTCATTTCCTCTCTTGTAAGGTGAAGACAAGGCCTACCATACCAAATTATATGGAGGATGACATGAGATCCTGTCTACAAGGCTCTCATTTCTGGCACCTAGCACAGAGGAAGTGCTGTAAGTACTCAAACAAGGAAAGTGTTCTTACTTATTAACATTAATACATAAAATTATTTGTGAAAGAATGAGATTTTTTTCTCTAACATTTTCAGTTAAAGGAAAATATGCGTAAATGTCAACTTACCTGCTGTTTAGTCAAGATGGTTGCCTGGCCGTGGGCCAGGGAAAGCACTAGAAGGTGGTCGGGGAGACAGATGCCTTCTGTTCTGGAGCTGTGGACCCAAAGTTGTAAAACAGCCTTAGGACACGAACAAGGGCCCTTTCAAAGCCCGCCCTCCCCTGCTCCTCCCTCATGATGTGGAAGCGCTCGCTGGAGCCTGGCCCTCCAGTCCGACCACCTGGGTCTAGCGTGTCTCCTCCACTTTTTAATCATGACCGTGCACAACTTTTTCTACTTCTCTAAGCCTCCATTCTTTTCTTATATAAAATGGGAACAAAAATAGTACTTTCTTTAAAGGATTTTTATAAGATCCCAATGGAATAAATCATACAAAGCCCTTAACACTAAATAAGCTTATTGGGGTAACTGTGGGTATGGCCAAGACAGGGGGTGCCTCTGCGATTGTACACACAGCACTCCCTTCAGACTGTCAGAATCAGGCCTGTCCACGAATCGTGGCAGAGAAGTATGTGGGTGCTAATCTGTCTCACCATCTAATTCAGGAACGAGGACAGAAGTCTAAACCTACTGTATCCTTTTAGCCCCTTCAGTGCTAGCACACGGGCCAATCTTGGGTGCTCTGTACACACTGAGCATGTGATTGAATGGCACCAATCAGTCTTCCCGATTTTTAATTGTGTTGCTGCTATAGCTTGAGTTCAGGCATTAAGAGCACTACAGGGACCATCGTGCCAATGCCTCTGACTGTCCTCAGGTGTTCCAGCCAGGGGTTAAAGCCTGGCCCGAGGCAGCCTGCTGAGATTTGAATCCTGGGCTACCAGTTATGAAGTGTTAGGGGTGGGGTCTCCGGTGAGTTACTTAACCACTCCGTGCCTCAGTTTCCTATTAGTACAACAGGACTGGTGGTGATAATAGCTTCTACTTCCTAGGGTTATTGCGAGGATTTTGTGAGTTAATCTCTGTTATACACCTGGAGTGCTAGCTGGAGCAGCCTCAGCCTCCAGGCCTGCCCTGCTCATTAGCTGGAGCCGTGGCCCCGGCTCTGCTGTCCTGAACCCCATGTCCACAGAATGAGCTCAGAGCTGCGGGGAGACAAGCAGGTCCATGCACATCTGGTTCTGGTTTATCTCTTACTAGAGAAAGAGAGGGTACATTGGCAAGCAAGGATCCAGGCAGTTTCCTTGTTCCCAAAACAGGTTTGGGGGACCAGCAATGCTGGTTGCCTGAGGTCAGCGGAGGGGAGTGAGAGCACAGGAAGTCGTTCTGATACCAGCGACAAGAGCAAAGCCAACGCTAATTAAGTGCTGACAGTGTACCGAGGATTTGGCAGATGTTGTCTCATTTAGAAAACGAAATTTCGGAAAGTAGAAGTTGAAGGAATTAGCAATTTTAGAAAGAAGCTATAGAAAAAAAAAAAAGAGAGAGAGAGTTAGGGAGTCTTAGAGCAGAGGTGATATTATGTGGAAAACTGGGAGGTTTAGAATGAGGATTGAAAGCCGACTGACAGTGGCAACCCCAGCGCCTCGGGTCAACTGAGAGTCCCTTCTTTTTGAGTTGTATTCAGGTCCCCTGCCTCTACCACAACCAACTGAAATAGAAAAAATCGTATTTTTTAAAGGTGGTCTTACTGGGATCTTGGCTTGACCACTTTCTGCCAGAGAAATCTTAACTGAGTCTTTTAACCTCATAGAGCAGTGGTTCTCAACCTTCTGGCCCTTTAAATACAGTTCCTCATGTTGTGACCCAACCATAAAATTATTTTCGTTGCTACTTCATAACTGTAATGTTGCTACTGTTATGAATCGTAATGTAAATATCTGATATGCAGGATGGTCTTAAGCGACCCCTGTGAAAGGGTCGTTCGACCGCCAAAGGCTCTATGAACCGCTGTCATAGAGCCTTAATACTTTCATCTGTAAAACGTTGGTTTATTTTTCTTAATAAAGGTTAATTAGAATATGTGTAAGTGTCCTTAAATAGTAGCAGCAGATTCCTGGCTTCCCAATAAGAGCTGAAGGAAAAGAAAGGGGAGGGGAGAGGAGAGGCAATCACTTGTTACATTTATTATGTTTTATTAATGTTATTCTGCCAGATAGGGCTAAGGGTCCTTTAGTAAGTAGCAAAATTAAGAGCATTCCTCCGCAGATTGCCCGAGTGAGCGTTTTCTTCCCCGAGCCTACTTAATTAAAAAAGACCATCCATGTTTTAATTAGACCATTGACATTTCGCTTCAATAACTGCAAAGGGGCCTTAACTAACCACGTTAGAGGACACACTGATATTACTCTGAAGTGTAACGCACTGTGCTTCTGATATTCATACTCCCTTGTAGAATTAGTTCCGTGGAGAAAAAGGAGCGCTCATGGGACAAATGGGGACTCGGAGACACCCTTTTTCGAAGCCCAGGTCTGTCTCTCAGAGCATGTAGGAAGTGAAGCAAACTAGCGGGACCATCCAACCTCACACATCCCGGGGCATTTGGAGCTGGGGTGGGGAAAGCAGGCAGGCTCCCTAGTTAATTTCACACTTCCCCTATCCATTTCAAAAACAAGGTGTGACTCTGCAGCCAGATTTCAAAACAAAACAAAACACAAAGCAGAAGGCTGACTGCCAGGTACCCTAGGAACCCCCTGTCCTGCCTTAAGGATCATCCTCTATCCTGGTGTCTGTTTGCTGTGACAAATCCCAACCTGCTCAGTGAAAGCAAGGGCTTTCAGCTTCTTGGAGGGTATTTCCTGCTCCTTAAGGCTCTGAGTTTACTGGAGCTGATGGCCTTTGTCATTCTGCCCGTAGGCTTCCTGCACTCTACAAAACCCTGGGGGAATTGCCTAAAGAGGGAGAAAAGGAGGAAGCTGGCATCTACCATGTCTTCTCCTCCCAACAGCCTTATGAAGTAAGGGTTTATTGTCTGCGTTTGGCATAGGAAGGCATCCAAGCTCAGAGGGGGTACCTCCTCCCTAGACCTGTTTCTCCAACAGCACACCCCACAGGCTCTGAACCTCTAGGTGGGCTGAGGGGGGAGGAGGCCCTCTGGGGCACTGCTCCTCTCCTCCGGCCCCTGCCCCCCCCCCCCTCCTGGCTGCAGGCTGCCCCAGGTTTGTTTTCTTTGGCTCCCCCTTTAATGAGTTCCACAGGACAATGCTAAGTCTAGTTATGCAGCCTTAATTGGTTTAGTTACCACAAGATAATTCCTTTTTTCTTCTCTTGGAGGCCTTTTTGTTTAGAGCCGTTTTAGCTGGAAGATGCTAATTATCAATGAGGAGAAAGTGACACCTGAGGAGTTCATCTTCCATCTTGGTCCTCGCTCTCTCCTTTGAACTCCCTCTCCGGCCTCTTTCCCACTTCATCACTCGTCCCCCAGCATCATAAAAGCCAGCTCTGCCCAGGCGGGTGCAGAACCTTCTTTCTCACTTGCCAGGGAGCCCTTCTCTCTGCAGCTGCCTCGCAGGCATGGACAACCTGCGCGAGACCTTCCTGGGCCTGGAGGATGGCTTGGGCTCCTCCGGCAGCCCCGGCCTGCTGTCCGCCTGGGACTGGAAAAGCAGGGCAGGGCCCTTTGAGCTGAGCCAGGCCTCGCCCACTCAGAGCCTCTCCCCGGCCCCCTCGCTGGAGTCTTACACCTCTTCTCCCTGTCCGGCTGCGGCTGGGCTGCCCTGTGGGCATGGGGGTACCAGCAACGAGAGCAGCAATGGCTGCAGCGGCCGTGACCCTGGGGGCCTGGTAGAGGTGGACTACAACATGTTAGCTTTCCAGCCTGCCTACCTGCAGGGCGCTGGGGGCCCCAAGGCCCAGAAGGGCACCAAAGTCAGGATGTCTGTGCAGCGGAGACGGAAGGCCAGCGAGAGGGAGAAGCTCCGGATGAGGACCTTGGCCGATGCCCTGCACACCCTCCGGAACTACCTGCCACCCGTCTACAGCCAGAGGGGCCAGCCGCTCACCAAGATCCAGACGCTGAAGTACACCATCAAGTACATCGGGGAGCTCACGGACTTGCTCAACAGCGGGAGGGAGCCTCGGCCCCAGAGCACCTGAGCCCCCCTGGGGCTCCCTGGACCAGCAGCACACGGTCATGTTTGCATGGTCAGCGTGTGACCTTGTTTCAGGAGAGTTTTAAGGGAATTCCCACTGGACTTGGTGGAACTGCCAGATAAGCAGGTACTTTGCTTCCAGCTTCCCCACGATTTCTCAGGAGTCTCGCCCTTTGCAAAGACACGGATTCGTTTGCCTTTCTCTGTCTGTTCAAGTTACTTTCAAGGTTCAATGATTTAAATGCAGTTTTTTAAGCAATGTAAAATTGTTACAATTCATCTTCTCTTGTCATGTTGGCGTTGGGAGCTTTCTTTCCGTGGCCAATGAAACCTGTATTTTGTACAGGACCCAGTGTGACACCTGAATTCTTATTTAGAAAGTTCTGTGTCAAGTAAAGGGCACAGTGCTCGTGTATGTGTGTGTGTGTGTGTGTGTGTGTGTGTGTGTGTGTGTGTGTGTGTGTGTGACTGAAACCCTGCCTTTACCTGCACAGGGACCAAAAATCCCTTAAATGCAGCAAAAGTGAGTGTCATGGTAAACAGTCACAGGCAGACAGGCTGTGTTAAGACAGAGTGATAAGCCTAGAGGCCAGCGTCCTGTCTTAAGGGAAGGAAAAGAAGGCTGCGAGAGGCAGTGCAGGGAATGGGAGGGGGTAGGACAGAGGAGGAGGAGGAGAGGCAGGACTCAGCACTGCGGGTGGGCCTGGGCTGGGAGGGCAGGGGGGCCCTGTGCCAGGCCTCCTGTGAATATGACCTCGCTGGATCCCGTCACTTACTCATTTCTCAAGTGAAGAGAATGACTCAAAAAGAAAACCAGACTATTTTAATTCTATAGAAAAGTGCCAGGGGCAGGATTAGAACCCCAGTCTACCTCGAATCCCTGCAAAGATATTTATTTCTTCACCCAGAGCATCAACCCCTCCTCCCCACCCCCCAAATCACCGCACATGCACCCATATACCCCCTTCACTGTGCCTCATGTGAAGGGTTGACTATAGCTCCCTCAGCTTGGCTAGTTGGATGGCACATGGCATCAACAAGGGAGTTTTGAATGAAGGAGGCTCTCAGAAACCAGTAGGCTTTAAGGCTGAATATTTCCCCCCTCTGATTAGTAAGCATTTGTATTTGTTTCTCAATGTTTATGGCTCCTGTATTTTTTTCTTTTGGTGATTATTTCTTCTTTTTAGCGACAAACTACAAAGGCAGTAGAGGTATTCACAATTTAATGTAGAGTCTCTCCACTTTTTCCTTTTCATAAAGCATGCAAATAAATGTAGGCGTACATACATTTTTAAAGACTCCCTTTAATTCTGAAAATTGCTTTTTTTTAAAAAAAAAAACTTGGGACATATAGTAAAAGCCCTTCCAAGTTAACACAAATAAATCTGTAACATAAGTGCCATTATTACCTTCATCTTACAGATGAGGAAATGGAAGCATAGACTTGCCCTGCGACCCACATGTGCACAAGTAGAGGATGCAGAAGTTCAACAATGTGCCATAGCATCATTTGTTGAATAATATTTAGGTTGTTTTCAGTTTTTTTTTTTAATTACAAAAAGTGATTTAACAGACATCACAGACAACTAACTAGCTTTATACACTGATATTTTAATTAGCCCGAACAATTCGCAGAAATGGGATTCCTGGATCAGAGTGTGTGTACATTTTAAAGTTGAATAAATGTTGTTAGATGACTTTTATGAAGTTTGTAATTATTCACACTTGTCCTATCATTATGGGACAGAGCCAGCCCCTAGATCCCAAAAGATATTACCAATCTTTTGAACTGTTTTAATGGATAGAAAATAGTTATGTCGTTGTGTTCGTTTTAATTTCCCTGAGTACTGTTCGAGATGGTGCGGCTTTTAAAATTTTATGTTACCGTTGTTCATTTTGGTTCTTTTTTATAACTTACCAGTTTATGTTCTTTGTCATTTCTCTATTGGTTATTTATCATCTTGTTAATAATTTGGGAGAGTTCTTAGTACATTATATATGATACAAATATTTCCTTCCAATCTATCATTTTGTTACCATCCTTATGATATTTTATATATGACTTTGAGTATGATATCTTTTCCTCTTTTAAGCTTTGCATTTTATATGATCGAATATCTCCTTTTTTATGGCTTATATATTTCTTCACTTTGCTTAATTTTCCCCTGTTCCAAGGTTATCTAAACATTTAGATTTAAATATATATGTTTCTGTAATTATTTATCTATAGCTCTTTAACATACCTGCAATTTATTTTTTTATATTTTTGTGCATAGAAGGAATCTAACTTTATTTCTGATTAGTGTTTTTATAACTGAAGAATATTTTGCCATTGGCAGGTGGCAGGTGGTAGGCACAGTTGCTAAAATGTTATCTTGTATGTACAACCTTCATCAACTTCTCTACATTTGTCGGTGGTGTTTTAGAGAAGAAACTGGAAAATTTTGGACAATATCAAGGCTTTCCGTAAGGGCCTCTACCCTGTGTATGTATAGTTGTTCATGTGAGTGTATGTGTGTACATGTATGTATTTGTGTGTGTGTGTGTGTTATTCCATTTATTGGGGGTGACGGGTTAGAAAGGAGAGTGTAATATGGGGAAGAGTGTGTCCAGCCTTTGATCAGCTTTTAGATCCATTGTCATTTACCTTGCCATGCTCTTGACTTTTGATTTTTTTTCAAGTTCATGCATTAAGAATGGGTTATAAATAGCTTGGGCAATTTTGGTTGCTCTGAGGACTGAATTCTGTGAATGGGTTAGGAGATCCTGTCCTCACTTTCAGACAACCCTGAAAGCCACAGACTCCCTACTAGCTGGGCTCCTAAGGTGCCAGCCCAGGGGAGCCTCTGGAAAGGCAGGAGAAGGTGACAGCTTCCTGGCAGGAGGCCTCTGGCGCAGGCCTGGCTGCACTCCGCACAGCTGCAGGCCTCCCCACATTGCATGGGCATCCCCAGCCCGCCTGGGGAGGAGGCAGCTGCCCAGCAGTCCACGATGAAGT